CCCCTATCATTCCCAAATATTCCTCCGGTGAATCCTCGCGGCTCGGAACTCGCGAGATTCCGAGAACCAATTCGCAAAAGTCCCGACGAGCGTTGTTTCCCGTTTTATCAGAACGAATTTCAGAATTCGCGGAGTGTCGAGGAGCGTGTTTCTCTTCGATGATGCGAGCGTTCGTCATTTAAGAGACCCACGAGCTTCCCACGGGGAAGTGTAAAAGCGAGAGGTTTTGTTCCGCTCGTCCTCTTTGGATTCGGAACGACGCTCAAGATCCTTCTCGATCATCGCTTGCCGATTTAATCGACGTGTGTAGCACGTAGTTCGAGATTTCGCGGAATGAGACTCGCGGCATGACGCGGTCCGAGATCGCGAAGACAACGGGGGAACGCTAGCTGCGAGACGTCCGATTTTCCACGCAGGCGGAGTTCGTCGCGGGAATACCCCGTATCGGGGTATTCGCGGGAAAACGCGATAAGGCAGCGCGATAAAGCGCGAGGATCAGCCGCGAGAGCCGACGGGATTTTACGCGGCGGGAAATCCCCGCGCGCGGAGAGAGTGAAAGACGAAGCGAATGAGAGGGAAAGTCGAGGGTGTGCGGGAAGCGTGCGAGCGAGAAGCTGTCCCGCTGTTTCTCGCTTCGCAAGGGAATCGATCGCGGTTAATTAGCCGGGCTGACGCGGGCTGGAGGCGAAGATGCGCGGTTACGCACGTACAAGGCGGTTTCGATCTGTGATCTTTTAAATAATCGCGCGAGGATCGTTTGGCAGGGCGCCATTGATCGGACGATCGACGGAGAAAGGATTCGGACGGCTGGAGGACTCTCGAATATAGTCCGTTCGTGTCGGTGAGTTTATTGCTTTGTCTATTGTCTATTCCATTTAACTGTACAAGCGATGAAACAGAGTTTCCACAAAACTGAAAATCAAAAGGGAAATTAGGGAAATGTTAGGACAGTTGAAAACTATCAGGAAAATGAGAGAAAAGTTAGGGAATGTTGCAAAGTTTTCTGGAAATCTAAAATTCTTTGCTTTCAAAAAGATAATAATAATAATTTACATTGTTATGTTGAATTCTTCTTCTAACAAAATATTCGACGATTTCTAAATTAGGACGAAAATGCGAAAACTTTCAAAATATTATTGGAGCTTCAGGGAAAATCATGAAATTTTGTCTGAAAATCAGGGAAAAGTTGTGGAATTTTAGAATGAGGAATTTGTAGCAGCTCTGCAATGGGCCACGGGATCTATTCCTCTGAGTTCCCGCTGGATCCCGGAATGGATCGATGCTGTTATCATGACGGGAGAGTTTCGTCGAGGCGTGGCGATTATTGGTATGGACATCAAGCGATAAAAACTTCGTTAAGTTACAAAGAAGTTATCTAGTTAGTTGCCGGAGGCGTGAATCTTTCTTTAAATAAAAAGGTAGTTTCAGTTTGAAGATAACATTACACATTTGTTATTATTTTTCTGTATTCTGGCTTTTTCTTTATTTATATTATATATTTTAGATAAAATATAAAAGTTGCAAAAATATGCTTTATAAAAAAAACTTTTGTCAAGTTGTGAGAAGGTCTAAATTAAAAATTACTTTTCTTCCTAAACTGCTTATTTTATTTGTTTTACTTCATTAAACATATAAGTACTTTAATGAGAAATTATTAGAAAGTCCAAGTTGTATATATTTCTTATGTCCATTTCTACCAACGTAGATTAACTTTAATCTCGGTTTAACTTACTTTTTATCCTTTCCTAGTTCTAAGGATTAGAAAAGATAAAGAGAGAATGAAATGAATCCAGATTACAGTTAATCTACATTAGATAGAAATGAGGATATAGATAGAAATGAGGATTAATCCTTTATGTACACTGTTAAATTCATAATGTCAAATTATATCCAATTTGAGTTATTTTTAATTATTTTTGTAAATTGTTATTGTTTCTACCGAATATGTTATTTGTTTAACTAAAATGTATAATACAGCTAAACGATTAAACAACGTAATTCAAGAAATGTATTAAATTTGACTCGAATTTAGTTTATTATTTACTGTGAGCACGATAATATGGACGTTATTTACTTTGAAACTGAGTAATTCAACCACAAAAATGGATTAATTCATATTTTGACACACATAGGAGAATTAAAAATCAAATATTATTTAACTTAAGGGATTGAATCACTATTGTTTGATATTTAACTATTCGTTTGATATTTAACAGTGTATACAATAAATTTTTACGTTGAATTAATGTCTTTTATTTATTTTTGAGGGGATAGGAATTGTTAAGAAAAAGTCATTGAATATAAAAACGAGAAACAGAACAAATCGATATAAATCAAAGGTTTGTACAAACAATTGGATCATTATTTTTTCAAAGACGAAAAAATCGCGTGTCTGTATTACGTAACAATCTTTCGTATACTTCGCATTATCTACAGTTCGATTAGATTCTTCACGTCTTCATTCGTTCGTCTTGCGTTACCATCTATTGATTTTTTCCACGGTTCTTGATTTTTATGAACCTTTTCCGCATCAATAAAAGAAAAATAGCAATACTAGAAAACATAAATTCACGCAAAAATATTATTAGGCAATAATATCCAGTGACCGAATAAGGTTTTTTCTTTATATTGTATTATTCGTATCGATCTTTTTTTATTTATTATGTATCATAAAGATTGAATTATTTCATATTACTTTTTCTCCTAAACATATAGAATTTGTATCTCTCGCGAAAAAAAAAATTGGACAAAGAGTTCGCAAATAAAGGACATGCGACCGATTCGAAGTCTACATATAATCATTATATACAGCTTGGTAAAAAATATTAACCTTATTAACCATTATTTAAAATTTTAAAAATTAATGTATGGTATTTTCTGTAAATTATTTTTTGCTTCAAAGACCTTTTAAACTTATATAATGCCGATAACCAGTAAGTAACAATGATAAAAGAATTTCAGATAAACGAAAAAATATAAGTGCTTAATATTTTTTACTTAAGATTGTATATATAATTATTATGACTGTTTATCGCACTGATGCTTTTATATTAACTATTAATATGATGTTGAATTTCAAAAATCCTTTTTTATTGTGTTTATTATATTTATAATTATTATAATTATTACATTTCACGTAAATATTATTTGCTATATAATTATTATTAATTCTTTTATTTATACCACAAAAATAATATCGAGAGAAAATTATTATATCATAAAATATTTAATTATTATATTTCATGTAAATATTATTATTTTTGCTATATAATTATTATTAATAATTCTTATGTTTCATAAAAGTAATATCAAGAAAGAAGGTATACGTCGTATACCTACAGAGAAGGGACACGTGTCATTCTTTTGCCTTGGACGCCGCGGGCGGCATTAAAACCCCCTTTTTAATTAATTAAATAAGACGAGTCGCCTCCGGTTCTTCTCCGGCCGCGCTGATAGCAATTTGTGTGTAGAGAATGTTGAAATTATTAAAGACGTCCGTCGATTAGCGGCGATGCACGGAAGCGAACGGCCGGAAGCAATCTGGGTGCACTCGATTCTGCCACCCCCTACTCACCCCTCAATCGCTCACTATTTCCACGCAGTTATTCGTCGAAAAGAGATTGGCGAAGAGAAAACTTGCCGTTTTCTGATTCCTCTCCCTCTCCCTCCAACCCTTTCGTTCTCCACGGGCCACGCGTTTCAACAAGCCGAACGATTACTGAAGGATTATTGGAGCAATTTCGAAACGATTCGCGATATTGCCTGTGTTTACATAATTGCACCCCTATGTTTGTGAGCTATTTCCATGCGGTTACAACGCCCCCAGATTCATCTCTGATGCGAAAGGGACAATCGAGACGGAGGAGATGGAGGCTTTCCTCCTGTAACCCGCCCTTTTCCCTGATCCCGGGTTTCATCATCGGATCGAACAGTTACCGGGATTACCAGGGCGATCCCTGATGCGATTCACGATATTATGCGTGTTTATACCCTCGACACCCTCGCGCTCGCGCGCGCTATTTCCACCCTGAACGGAGAAATGGAGGAGGGAGAGGAGAAACGGAGACCGTTCCCGTTTCCATCGTTCGAGTCGAACGCGATTACGGGATTACGAGGGCAATCTCGAGATATACCTGTGTGTATGTGTAGACGTTTTCACGATATAACCATATTTATATGTATATATTCGTGCCCTTGCCCTTGCCCGACTCCCGCCCACGTCGCCCATCACCAGTCTTCGCCCAAAATCCACCCTCTCGCGTCCTCCCCGTCGAGATATACACTCCGACGCTACGTGCCGATGCGCCCGGCGTATATATGTACACTCTATGTATGTAGGACGTAGCAGGCATTAGCAGTTTCCCAAGCAATCACGGGCCGGAAGTCGTCGGGCGAAATTATTAGTCCGAAAAGCGGATGCGCGATATAGGCAGGCGAGAAGCCGATACCGTTCCCTAGAGAGCTTCTAATCAGAGTGGCGCCATACGACTATCACTTGTGATTGGTCCGCCATGTTTTAGCCATTCCCACCATTTTTCAATTGTATTGATTTCTGATCAAAATTCATAAGCAAATCGACTATATGCTTTAATCAATCTGTATGTATTTGCAAGTATTATGTGAATCTTTTTATTATAATATTGTAAATATTTATATAAAACAAAAAACTTTATTTCATGTAAAGATAAATTTTTAATGAAGTTCCATTTTTATATCTATTATTTATATTGCTCTTCCATCACATTCTGAGTCTCACTATTTTTATAATCTCTAAATTTCTTGGAGTGAAATCTCACTTTAAAATGCTGCTATTATTGAAAAAGAATGGCAGATTTAAACGGATGTTCACTTTTTTGGAGTGAGACTCATTCCAAAGGAAAGAACTTGAAGTGAATCTCACTCTAAAAAAGAGTGAAAATCTAATTTTCTTATTTAAGAGTGTAAATGTCTCACTCTTTCTCAATGGTAGTATTTTAATTCTTTTGGAATGAGATTTCACTCCAAGAAATTTAAAGATAATAATCCTTTGTTCATAAAATTGTTATAAAGTGATACTAAAGCCAATCATATTACTATTTTTTTTTGCAATATAAATTCACATCAGCAATGCATTCATTATATATTGCAAAATTCATTATGTATTGCACTTAATCATACAGCTAATCCCTGCCGCATATTCCCATATGGGTTCCTTGAAATTGACTCAGGTGTATCATATTATGGAGCAGGATATATAATAACAATAAAATATTGGGAATCATGAAATTGTGCATTTGTTTAAGTAATATACTTTATGTATAACATCTATACAGTGTATAAACAATCATTTACGTGTATATTGCATAAATAGATTCATAATGTATGAAATAGATTCATAATGTATATACGTATTGTTACAATATACATATTGTAATAATATACACACACATCTATTTATGCAACCAGCAGTATACACGTAAATAATTGTGTTCATACACTGCATAAATGTTATACATAAAATATATTGCTTATAAACAAATGCACAATTTCATGATCCCTAATATTGTTATCCTGCCTCATAATGCATCTGAATTAATTTGCGGCAGAATAACAGCTGACCCAAGTGGCAAGGTGACATCAAATGATGTCTTAATGACGTCTTTAATGTTTTTAATGTCTTTAACATCAATAAAATGTTACCCTATTATTTGGGAGCAGGTAATAGGTTGATAGCTACACTATTGAATTGATTGAGTACGCATATATATTTCTTTCTTACTCGCAGGATTTCGCCAAAACATGTCGGTACCTAGAGATCCTCAAGTAAGAGATTGGATGTCATTTAGACAACTTCTGATTGCTTCGCCATATTTTTCAGGATTTATTTGAGATAGAATGAGAGATAGATATATAAAATAGAAAGAAATGCGTAGATATTTCATTCTATATTAAGCATGAGGTCCTAAAAAATATAGCTGACCAAACGTGATCTATTGATATCCAATCTCTTATTTGAGGTCTCTAATCAATACCTTTAATTTTATATGACACCACTCTGATTAGAAGCTGTCTACCATTTCCTATATGGTGTAGTCGCATGCAGTGGAAGTCGCCTCCATCACGTCGCCGATAATTTTCTCCTCCCTCGAGAGAGGCGATTTCACCCCTCCTTGCTTCCTCTACCCTGTTCTCAATTCTTCCCACATGACCGTTCGTTTCCGAAAAAGTTTAGATGGATCGCGCGACAAATACACTCTCGGTGCGCGTGTTATTGACTTCAAATTCGTCGTAAGTTCTAAAAAGCGTATGTAATGTCCATTTCTGCCAATGTAGATTAATTTTGAAATTAAATTTATTCAGTTAAGCTTTTTATTATAAATAGAAAAATGGAGCGAGAAGAATACATCTAAATATTAAGTAAGAAAAATCCTATTTTCGGTTAAAGCTTAGTGCTTAGAATATTTATGTGTGAATTTATATCCAATTTTGCAAACCAAGCGAAATCTTTTTCACTCTTGAAACGCAATCATGAATAAAATGAAAATAGTAATATTACATATTAAATTGACAAGCAATTTAACAATATTAATGTGTCAATAAGAATCTTATAAGAATATTAATAATTTGATGTTCATGAAAATCTTAAACATTGAAAAATTTTTATATATTCTTTTAATTAGGAAAAGACGAAGAGCAAATTAAAGATTAAAGTTAATTCACATTGTTACTGAAAAAAATTGAATAAATTAGTACATATAAAAGTACATATGGAATATGTACATATAGAATAATCAGATTAATTAGTAAAATATAAACGATTAATAATTTTAAAATAATCTGCAGACACATATTTGACTGCATAAATTTTGATGAAAATAATCAAACATTTGATATCAGATTATTTATTATAATTATAAATATGTTAACCAAAATTCTATTTCATTTTATCAATACTTCTTTAATCTGAAAGTTCATCCGAGTTTTTTACATAAACGATTACTTGTTTACATAATTAAAGTCGTTATTACAATATAAATAACATATTACGATATTATTGAATGTTTTCCAATTTATTAAGTATTTAAGAAAATAATTAATATGAATTTAATTATAATTTTCTGAAAAAAGTAAGTAAAAATAAAAAAAATTTGTAAACGGAATAAGCACGTTGAACAGCTTATGACAGTATTTTTTAAAAATATAAAGATTTTAATTAATATAATGCTTTTATTGTTTCGATAAAATTTTACATTCAAAGGTTCATAAAGAATAATTATTAAAAAAGAAAAAATATATCAAACAATATTCATACAAAAATATTTTACAACAATTTATATTTTTGCCATTGGGGGCGAAAATAAAAATTAAAAAAATATCCCAGATGATTATTCACAGAATAATCCAATCATGCACAGAAAGAACACCTTTGCTAAAGTAATTTAAAAATTTAGCTAGATACAGATCTGAATATAATTTTATTAAAATAATTATGTAGGACGCTCAAAGTGGTTGCTAGAATGTCAAAATTATTTTCATAGCGACATTCTTCATCATGCTTGAGTGTCCTACATAGTTATTTTAATAGTCCAAAAAAATTATTTTCAGATCTGCATTTATCATTCAAAAATATTTGCCTGTCTTTTTTAATTAAAATGAACAAAAGCGAATTTCTATTTTCTCTTCTATCCTTTTAAATGTTAAACTTAATAATAATGTTTAATAGTTAAAAACTTTTAATTCGATATACAGTAAAAGAATACAGTATAATTAGAATGAAATTCAAATGTATAAAAACAGTATACGTACAAAAATTAAGGTTTTTAAATAATTTACCGTATCCAGAAGATCAAAATCTACAAAAATGTACTATTCTTTTTATTTACACATTTTTAAACTAAAATTGGCTCTTTTTTAACGTATATCTTAATATATGTTTATTTAACCATGATTATTTTTTCCACGTAAAAATAGACATAGATTGCAAAGTAAAACGGGGTCTCAGTTCCATCGACCGTTTATATAATTTTGCAGAATTGTCGTGGAGCCCAACCACTAGCCCTCACGACACGACTGCTCTTATCTCGAGTCCGAGGACGCGGACGAGGAAGGACAAGAGTAGCGAAGCGCAGTCGCGTCTCGTCGTCGTCCTCGAACTGGGTCGTCGTCGCTTTGAAATTCAAAACAAGACCACGCCGATACGCCGGTGCCATCTCGGATTTAAAACCGGGGACTCGCCGTTATCGCGCTTGTTAGACTCGGTGAAATTAAATCCGTTTATCGAGTCGGAAATTCCGTCTGGAAAAGAAGGACGGTAGGAAGGCGAGACAAAAGAAATATCCCGGAAGACGGAAGACGAAGGTGAAGGGGGAAGAGTCGCGTGTCTTTGTATCGGGGAAGGGAGGATTATTACATAAAGTAGGCGGAAGGAGGAAGAAACCGGAAATTCAACGGAGTCCTAGTTTAGAGAGGAAGTTTTTCTCGATGGCCACGACGACGTTGAGGCCAACGACGAGGACGCCGAGACTGGAAACGACGCCGAGCGAGCCTTCCGGTACCTGAGAGAGAGAGAGAGAGAGAGAGAGAGAGAGAGAGAGAGAGAGAGAGAGTCTCAATCCTCATCTCCCGATTCCGGAACAACCGTTTATCAGAACAACGGGTATCCGAGAATTCGCGATAATCGTATCGGATGCTTCAATGTCTTCTATGAAAGAGTTCCGAGGGGAATTCCGTGCTCATCGTTTACTGATTTTCTCGAACTGAGTGATATTCCGTTCAGGAAGTAAAGGAGAAATGAGAGAAAGAGAGGGAGTTAGATAAACAATAATGTTTATTACTACAAAGTCTAGGATAAATTCTCTAAGAACGTAGAAAAAAAGAAAAAACAAAGAATGAAAACAAAGGAACCAAAAATATAAAATAAAAATAATATAAATAAAATATAAAAGGAAAGAGAGAGAGAGAGAGAGAGAGAGAGAGAGAGAGAGAGATGAAAAAGGACTCATTGCAAGGAAACTGAAGCAGAGATAGTATACAACGTGTAGAACGCCCGAGGGTAGCTTAAGAAACGATCGTGAAACACGGGACCAACGTACTCCCGGGATTTATCGTCTCTTTATTCGTTTGTACCCCTGAAGGAATGCCTAACGTGGAAAAATCGCGCGTCCGATCGGTCGAGCGATCGAGGAACGATCAAAAGGCTCGCGGTCAATGGTGCGTGGATACCGGGATCGCTGGCGGGGAATCCCGAGATCTTTCGCCGCTCGAATCGAGAAAGCGGCTTCCTCCTCGTTGATGGTCCGTTGGGACTTCTATCAGCAGGCAGTGCGGGGAGTGCAGAGAGTCACGAATCGAAGTCTGAAGAAACACCGGCCAATTAATATTATCGATTCGATGTTAGGGAACTGTGCATGGAAAGAATGGTTTTGCTGAAGTTTCTAAAAGTATTATTAAAAATAATTTTGATTGAATCATCAAAATAACTGCACTCTAAATTTCTTGCGGTGAAATCTCACAAGGGAGTGAAAATGCAACTTCCCTTGAAAAAAGAAGTGATGACCTTCACTCTTTTTAGAGTGAAGTCTCACTTTTTAGAGTGAGATTTCACTCTTTTGAAGTGAAAATTCACTCTAAAAAGAGTGAAAATTGTCACTCAAGAAGTGAAATATTTCCACTTTTTTTTCAAGAATGATTGTATTTTCACTTGCTTGAAGTGAGATTTCACTGTAAGAAATTTAGAGTGTATGTAGAACACATATATCTCCAGACGTTCTCAAGATTTTATTTAGAGAAGAATAAAGTTGAGACTTTTGAAGGAAGGATGGAATTGAGTGATATAAACTTATTTTGTTTCATATTATTACTTTTAATTAATTACTGGCAGATAAATCTTTTATTAAAAAAAAATGTATTCGCAACTGTATATAAAAAAATGATATACCAAAGTTAAGGAAATCTTTTTTTTAATATATAATTATTTTAATAGTCCAAAATTCTTTTCAGATTTGTACGTAGCTAAATTTTTAAATATTTCAGCAAAATCGTTCTTTTTCCTGTAGATTCAAATAATTAATCTGCTTGTCAACAAGAAGAGGACAGAATCCGATCGATTGCGAAAATGTAGAGGAAATTCGCGCGAGTGAGGGCGAGTGAAGGATGGAAAACTCTCCGCTTCGAGATAGGTGCTCGGCTCGTGGTAGGAATTTGGTCCCGGTAGATGTAACGGGTGAGGCGGACCGACGAGGATCCTAGGATTTCCCTAAGAGAGACTAGGACTGTCGAGAGCAGCGTGAAACGGCGCACAATTAAGGCAGTTAAGATGCACCAGCGTGTGCCTTGGCCGTTGCTGCTCCTGACCTTGTCGCTGCAGCGTTTAACGAGCTTGTCAACGGTGCAGTCGAGAATGCACAACGAGGCGGTACTGATACCCGGCGACATCGTGCTGGGCGGACTGTTCCCGGTGCACGAGAAGGGTAGTGGTCCAACCGCGTGCGGGCCCAACATCTATCACCGGGGCGTGCAACGGCTCGAGGCGATGTTGTTCGCCGTCGATCAGATCAATCAGAAGGACGACATACTACCAGGTGTCATGCTGGGCGTGCACATCCTCGACACGTGCGGCCGCGACACGTATGCGCTCAATCAGAGCTTGCACTTCGTCCGGGCGTCCCTGTCCAACATCGACATCAGCGTACTGGAGTGCGCGGATAAGTCGATACCCAGGGTAAAGAGGACTGCAAGCGCGGGACCCATCTTCGGCGTGATAGGCGGCTCCTACAGTTCGGTGTCGCTGCAGGTAGCGAACCTGCTGCGACTCTTTCACATCCCCCAAATATCACCGGCGTCCACGGCTAAGGCGCTCAGCGATAAGACCAGGTGAGAACCATGGCACATACAAAAATGTATCCTGGTGAAAATTTTTATACGAATTGGAACATTTTTCAGAAATACTCAGAAATATTCGGAAAGTTTACATCCTTTCTCAGAATTTTTCATACAAGAATTCTGAAATATTCTAAAATTTTTCATTCCATAATTTTTAAAAAGTATTTTAAAATTTTGTAGATTTTATAACTTCATCAGAAATTATATTTTTTTAATTTCATCAGAAATTATACTTACAAAAAATCTTAAAAATCTTACGATATTTCATATTTAACATATATGAAAAATTCTGAGAAAAGATGTAGATTTTCTGAGAAATGTTCCAATTCATATAAAAAATGTGAAAAAGTTATAAAATTATAGAGAAATATTCTGAAAAATTATATAGAAATTCTGAAAAATTATATGAAGAATTCTGAAAAAAATTTTTATCAGGATAAGATAGTAAGACGTAAGCAGTAAATAAATTGGCCAATCACACTAGAGAACAGTAAGTAAGGAAAATCGTAACATTGGATTCGCTACTGGCCTTACAGTACTGTTCTTATATTGCCTTACGTTTACTTACTGTTTACGTCTTATATTGCGTTTTTGTATGTGCCACGTTTTAAGCAATAAAACGTAAGCAGTAAGCGAATTGATTAATCACAATAAAGTCCGTTAGACTAATTCAACATGTTGATTTTCTTACTGCTTACGTCTTGCTACCTTAAGTTCTTTGTGTGCCATGGCCTTAAGACTACAAATAGAATGGAAGAGCAAAGCGTTTGTACATTAAGAATAATTATTAAATTTTGTAATATTAATATATTGCTACAAAAGTTGACTCTTTGTGGGGTAAAATTGGAAAGTTAGAATTTTAAAAAGTAAAGTTGGAGAGGTCATGTATAGAAGGACCTTTCCTCGTTGGAAGTAACTTTTTTGTATTTTTTTGAACAATCAAAAAAGTGACCTTATTTGAGGAATTTAACAAAAAAAGACAAAATGACAAAGAGAGGAATGATGAAACAAATTTTGCGCCAATTTAACAGTTGTAAATTCTTTAAATTCTAATTAAAAGCGCATTTAATTATAAAGTATTCCGATGGCTCGTTATCGAATTTATTCGAGATATATTTCACGAATCTCTTTTCCACAATTCCGTATATTTGAATAATCAATCAATCTATTATTTTTCATAATTTACAGATTCCAAGTAAATATTGATTTTTTTCATGTAAATTTCATAATCTTTTTTTTCTAAATTTAAGTTTAATCAATTATTGACTCAGACAATATTATTGATTCGCCCGATATAAGGCCTCAATTGTAATTAATTTGAGCATTCCGACATTCCCGTCAGACTTGTTAGTTTGACATCGTTTGTCGACCTCGCGTGTAATTGTCATTAGAAGACTTCCGATTACTGTTCAAACACTCGTTATGAGTGACTTTGATGAGTATGTATCTGCTAGACCATTTAAATGTAACTCAAGGCTGCATGGTACCTAGAAGATATTAATTTCCATTAGTAACCATTAATCTCCCAAATGAATGAGAGATGAATTGTTAATAATCCATTGATTATAGTAAGTTCCTATTCTCACATTTAACAATATTGAATTGTGGCTTTTTCTACAATAAATTGTAACCTTAAAATTTATTTTCTTGTAGTAGAAAAATTATATTATATACATACATAATATACAAATAATATAATATATCATAATATAAAAATTTATATACATATATATATATATATAATATATATAAAAATTATACATTAGTTGCAGATTTTTGAAATCGACAGCAGTTTTTTGAAAAAATTGAATATTTTAAAAAAATAGTTACATTTTGAAAATACATATTATATCAAAGATACAATACATTACATAAAATGCATTTATTTAATATGGCATCCAATCATTATTATTATTGACTATAGCTTATCATGATGTTTTGCACAAGATATGCATTTTATGAGATTTTCACAAACGTGAAAATGACATCGACAGATGGATTGGGTTTTCTTCCGCAGTAAATCCGATTGAAAATATCTGATCAATCATGAAGATAAACCTTCGAGAAATATGAATATTTACTTTGAAGTTATCTTGGCACATTCGAAAGATTTGTAGAGGCTTTTACCCAAAACCTTTGCCGCAAAATTTCGTTCGAAAACATATTTCGATAAGCTATAAATAATAATGGTTGGACATCGTATTTTAATGCATATACGAATAAGATATAATTTTTATATATATGATTTTTTTTCAAAAAATTGCGACAACTCAACAAATGTTTAGTAAAAATTGCAATTTTTTGCTACTGATTACATAATTATATATTACATAATTTATATATTCTATATAAATTTATCATAATTTATATAATTTATAATATATAATATATAATAATTTATATATAATATAATTAGAAATGCACCAGATCGTGAAATTACCGGATACCGAATATCGGATATCCGGTATTCGCTCGGATATGAAAGAAGGCGATTTCTTCGAGTCGGACATTTCTCGGATATCCGACATTTTCCGGGTATTCGACCGAATTCGGAGAAAGTGTCTTCTAAAAAAAAACCTAGAGAAAAAGATTGTAATTTTGCAATCATATATAACATATTACAACATCATAAATATACATATATATTTATTTCTAGAACATTTGTATAAGAAAAAAATCAATAATTTAGTGATATCAAATTCAA